CAAGGACTCAAAGAACCTCCAAAGTTAATATTCACGTATTTAATTGGAAAGTATTATTTTTAGACCACAAAGACTAATAAAAAGCATGCTTGTTTATCGTTGTGTCACTTTCTAATTGGAAATTTTGCACAATTAGACCAGATAATTGAAAGTAAGGGCCTATCCAATCAAAAGAAATGTACAATTCAAAAATATTTTATTTAGAAAGAAAATTATTTTTCAAAATATTAGGTAAAGGTACATCAATGGCTTTGATCCTCCCGAGGTCAGTCGGGTGATCCCGGATTTTGCGTTAGAGGTGGAGGGAGACCCGGTCACTCCTTCTTAACGGTCCTCTTCTTTTCTAGGGTCGACGCCTCTTGGTTTTCAGGCCTGGATCTACTCATTACATGGGAGCACATATGTTCCGGACCCAACTTTCATACAAACAGTTCGTCCCCCAACCATTAAGATTAGAAAAATACCAAAGTTCAAAATAAAAAAATAGTAATAATTGAAGGGATGATCACATTTGAAAATTCATTTTGAGAAAAACTTGGTATGAGAGTACGAAAAAACCGAAAAAGTGATAAAAGTTGGAATTGTTTATTAATGCTTTGTTGAAATTAGATTCATTATGCGGATGGTAAAGTTGGTAGAGCGAACAAAAAAGATAAAATTAAAAAAATACATTTTCTAAAAAAAATTGAAACTAATAAATAATAAATGCGCGTTAAGATGTTTCTAAAAAATGACTTTTTAAGACGCGTTGACCAAAGTGTACACTTCTACATTTTATTCTATGACTTGGACTTCGATATCATGACTTGCGTGTGGAGACCTCAAACTTTTCTTGGTCCAAAAGTAATATCACTATTCAACCAAAATCCATGATCATTGACGATCTACCTTTTAAGACAAAGATGCTATTGGGCAGTTGCTCAATATTTGGTGTATAATGATTAAGTGGTCGGAATGATTAAGAAACTCTCATGATATAGTGCAAAATGAAATATATTTGTTTGGTAATTGTTTACAATGAAATTAAGGCACTGAATGGTTAAGGGGGCTTAAGATACAAAATTATTCAAAGAATTTTATAATCATTAAAGGCAGGCTATTTTTTTTTGTCAAACAAGATTAACATCTTAACGATTCATATCTTGTCTTTTAATGGAACTATTAAGAGGTAAACAAACAATCYCAAAGTAGCAAGTAGTGATGACAAAAAATGGGTCATGGGTCAGGTCTGGTCCAAATCAATACTGGTCCCGAGTGGTTGAAGGGCGAGCCAATCCTAGTCTCAATGAAAAATGCTAGGACTGATTCTAGACCCGGCAACCGGTCCCAAATTTGGTGCCTCCCCCGGCCTAGTTATTTTTTTAGGAATTATTATTATTGAAGTATTTTTTACACACAAACATTATGCAAGTTATTATAATTATGATTTTTGAAATTGAAAGAATCTTAAGAATGTAAATTAAGAGCGTTTTCAATATATTTTGTAAATTTAGAAGGGTACTTGCGCAATGCAGTGAGATACATTCAATTTTAATGTTTCATTTTATTCTGTTTATGTTGATATAATACAGTTTTATGTGATTTTGAGAAAGCGACAATGTTTCAGCTTTAATAAAATATAAATTTGAAGATATCATAAAAAAATTAAAAAAAATGTATCGATATTAGTATCAGATAAACTATTTAAAAGTCTCGGGTTTTTTTGTGTAAATTTTTTAACTTAATTTTTTTATTATAATTTAATTTAAGTTTGATAACAAAGTAATTTATTTTTAGTTTAATAATATCATTTTTTATAAAGATAATAATTTAATTATTCTGTTATAACT